GATATGCACCATATAACATAGCATATGGCATGTAGGGGTGAAGTGTATGTAACGTACAACATAGCAAATAGAGAACAGGTGCCAGATGCACCTGACATACAACATGGCATAAAGATCTCAGGTGTCTAGCGTATGTAACATACAGTATTACTCATTGCATTGGTGGTCAAATGGTGAAAAAAAATCCCCTTATATTGATGGTCAGTGCAATAGTACACACTTACTTTAGTGGTTACGGGCTATCAAATTAAAGGGCTCCATTGACCAACAGTGTATATGGGTACTTCTATAATGACCACAAGTTTAAGAGTCACTTCTATACTAACCACCAATGTAATGGGCCACTTCTCTACTGATTACCAATGTAAGGGGGCATTGTTTTCTTCAGTGATATAACAGAGCATTCTTCCACTAAGCATCCAGTGATATATTGTTTGACCAGTGATATAACAGGGCATTCTTCCACTAAGGCAACAGTTATATGTTGTTTGACCAGTGATATAACAGAGCATTCTTTCACTAAGGAACACTTGTAAGGCTCTTACAGGATCTTACTGTTAAAGCATGTCATCTAACATTATTGGTCAATGAAGGCATGCCCCCTCACATTGGTGTCAGTGTGAGAAGCCCCCTCACATTGGTGTCAGTGTGAGAAGCCCCCTCACATTGGTGTCAGTGTGAGAAGCCCCCTCACATTGATGTCAGTATGAGAACCCCCCCTCACATTATTGTCTGTGTGGGAAGCCCCCTCATATTGATGTCAGTGTGAGAAGCCCAATCACATTGATGTTAGGGGGTTACTTACCTGACATCCAGCTCTATGTACTTTTTTTGATTGATTTAATTACTTTTTAACCACATTTGCACAACTGAATCAAAGGCAAAAGTAATTTAATAGGTAGGAAAGTTAGCTTGCGATGACTGCAATGAGGGGCGGGCTTGCAAGGACGGCAAACGGGCAGTGTGCGCGTGCGCACACCGGCCCGTTCGTCAGTTGTCGAACAAGCAGGCCACTAACTTGCCGAGAATCATACGATTCCCGGCGGGTTTTCCAGCCTGCTTGTTCGATGGAAGACGTGCGACCGTACAGTAGAAACGGTCGCACGCCTTCCATACACTGTACGATTCTCGTACGATCGCGGGATTTCCCACGATTCTCGTACGAGAATCGTACAGTGGATGGGCACCTTTAGGGGGTATGGAACTATCAATTGATTCTAAAACTCTATTTTAAGAGTCATGCTTACTTAATTAAATAAATGTTTAACATTGAAAGTAATCGTATTAGTACAGGTAAGTTTACTATATGTGTTGCATTAAACAATAGTTTCAGACATCTGATCTAATTGATTATTGTTCGATACAACATAAATGGATTGGATTAAAAGGTTGACTGCATAAAAAAACTGATGAAT